TTCATGTCCTGCAGTGGCGTCGATCAGTTGGTCGATGTGGGGTAGTGGGAATGAATCCTTTGGGCATGCTTTGTTCAGATCAGTGACTTCCATCTTCTTTAGGATGGCTGTTAGCGTGCCATCGTTGGTCTGTGTCTCGATGGGTCTGTTATTTACTAGTGTCGCTTCCGGTTCACCCACGGCAGCAGTGGTACCTACCGTTGGTGTACATACGATGTTATTTTGCGGTGACCTCTCAACCAAGCCACTTAGAGTGCTTGTTAGCCATCTTTCCAGTAGCTCTTTGACCGCTGAGGGTGCTTCCGTAGCCGCAGATGTGGAAGCTCCTTTTTCGTGCAAGATCATCAGGCCTTCGGATGGGGAAGGTGAGATCTCTGCACCTGGTGTGATGCTAGGGGTTGCATTCAGGATGCCACCATCACTGGCCTCGTTGAGAGGGCCCAGGAGATTGGTAGTGACACCCAATATGGCTTTCGATCTTGTGCTATTTTCTGCCATTTTTCTGTTTTTGTGTAGTGTAGAGAGTGGTAGTTGGTTGATCTCTAGGTGGATACTATGATTTTGATTCTCGAAATCCCCACAGACGGCGCCAAATTATTTGGCTCAAAAGTTAACGATATACTTTGTAAGCGATAAAACAATCAAAAATAGAAAAGGGGTAAATCGTAATCAAATATAATAAGCCTAGAGATTCAAAGATGATAATATTGTTGTAGATCTGATATTGCAAAGTGATAATGTTTACCAATAAGATATTTTCGTTAGAGGTAGAGATATAGAGAGAGAAAGCCAGAAAAATGAGAGAGTTGTATTAGATCAGATCCCCCCTTTTACAATGTGGAGGTCTCCTTTATATAATAAGAGACCTTCCTCGAAAGAATCAAAAAGTTACAAAAATAGGTAACGCCTCCCTATCATGGACGCTGAGTTCTAAACGATGTCGCTTTTGTCCTCACGGCCGAGTTGTACCCGCTACGTTGGTCGGCGTACACTCATTGGGCGTACCCACTAGCGTAGAGATACTGAGGGTCAAATTTGACCCTATACAATAGTATGTTTAGGTAATGGAATTTACTACTTCCTCCGTTTAAAAAAGAATTAACTTATTTTCTTTTTAGTCCGTTTAAAGAAGAATGAGCTTTTGAACATTATTAGGTACAAGATGGTTATATATTAAAAATCTATTCAGTTTAAGAATGCGTTGTTTTACACGTATTTGTTGTATTTATTATCCTAAAACCCCTTTTAATATTGCAAAAAACATGAATACACTTGATATGAATTTAGTAATGTGCAATCACATCTACTTGGCACCTTCCCTTATTCTCCTTCCTTTCCTCTTAGATCTAATAGTACCAATTATATTAATGCTTGAACTGCTCCTACTACAAATAGGGCTACTCTTGGGAACAAAAGAATGCAGTCCCACTAGAAACATCAGATCCTTCAACCTTCGTATTGGTTGAATAAAAAGGTGAACCATTCCCTCTACTTACGGAGAACACTTGCTATACTAGTAATGGCATTTTGTTATAGACTTAACTTTATTTATACTATCAGTATAATATAACATGCTCTTCCATTTTTGTTAGGTAACTACTTCCACTTATAATGGTCTGCTATCCATAGTTTTCTTTCGTGTGACCAGATAGTGTAAAAATTCTTTTACGTGAAGTTAAACTCGTTTGTTGTTCTTGTATTAGAGAAAGCCTCATCAATTGATTGTGAAACATGAATACTATGGATGTCTCATCAATTGAGCGATTATGCACTATTTTTTAAACCTATTCAAATATTTTGTGACAACTCTAGTGTTATATGCCTCTCAAAGAATTTTGTGCATCATTCTAGGGCTAAGCATATAGACATCAAATATCATTTCATTAGAGATCATGTCCTCAAGGGAGATATAGAATTATTATTTGTTGGCACCACTGATCAATTAGCAGACATTTTCACTAAGCATTTACTTGAAGATAGATTTTACTCCCTAAGAGAACTACTTGATATTATTTCGCTTGTTAGTTTTAATTCTTGTGTGTCTAATGTTTTTAATTTTGTTTTATCTGTAATTATGCCTTAATTTAGCGCTTCCGATTTCCCTCTCTTTTCCTATCAATCGCAGGCTCACAGCTTTCAAGAAAGGAAAATCAATCATCACGACCCTTCACTGACACCCTTTCCTTTCCTGCACTCAACCATCAAATCCCCTATTTTTAATCCTCTGAACCACTCTTCTCTGTTCTCATTGTTCCTATTGCTCAGAAACCCTCTTCAAAAATTCTTTAAACCCTTCCTCAAAATCATTCAATGGCTAAACACTCCCAGAATCCATCTGCCTCCACTAGAAAAAGTACTCGTTCCAAGAAAAAACCCTCTTCTCAGCCCCCATAATAAGTAGACCTAGGGTCGGACCACTCAGAAGGGTTTTTCTCTTCTCAGGTAGAACTATTGGACCACTCTCACCAAATAGGAGAAAAAGCTCTTGGAAAAAGGCGTATGTAAGACCCCCATGAATCTCTTACCCCCAAGAAATCCAAAGTAGACCTCTCGGGTTCTCTAGAGTCCGACCTCAATTTCTAGGATACCCCAAATAGGGATTTCTTTGTTGCTCTGAAAGACAAGCCCATTGCTCACGGCAGAGTAGCCGACCTTGATGATATGGAGGCCCTCAATTGTAAGGTAAAAAATCTGTTTGTTTTTCAAGGATGGTCTAAATTCCTCTCTGTACCCCCTCCCAAAGTCTATGAACCTTTAGTGAGAATGTTTTATGCCAATCTTCGCTCTAGCAAGACTGATAAGTTGGAATCCCTAGTTCTAGGAAAACGCATTGTCCTTGATTGTGCCATGTTTGACTCAATTTTTCAGTGTAAGTGCTCTGGTTTCTCTATGCTTTTCAAGAATACTTGGCCTGATGATTTTGAAATTTCTTTTGATCAAGCAAAATGTTGTATTGCTGAGTGTCCATCTGATTTCCTTCCCAACCAGTTAGGTACCAGTGATGTTACTTTTGAAACCCGAGTTCTGGCCCAAATTGTTGCAACTACTCTTCTTCCTCGTACTGGATCATTCTCCACCTTCTCTCAACGAGATACCTTTCTTGTCTACTATCTTGTGACCAAACTTAAGGTTAAACTATACTCATGGGTCATAAACTTCATGATTGTGAGTGCTGATGATCCCACCAGTTTACCCTATGGTATGGCTATCACCCACATTTTGGAAGCCTACAACATCTCTATCTCAGAATACCCCTTTGTCTCTGTTTCAAAGTCCTACAACACTAGAGATTTCGCCAGTATGGGGTATGTGTGTGCTAAGGGTTCCTGGTTGAAGAAACAGGAAGGTGAAGTCAAGAACGTTCAGCCTAATCCTAAGATCAAAGCCTCTGTTTCCCACCATAGTGTAAGTGATCCTGACCTTATGGAGAAACTGACGGCTATTGACAACAAGTTGACCATCATCAAGGACCTTCTTGCTGCAACTCAATCCACTGTTGGGGACATCCATGCAATCTCCAAAGAGACTGGGTCTGATGTCTCAAAGATGAGGGTCAAAATTCTCAAACTTGGAGAAAATGCAATCAAAGCCTTAAGGAAGTACATGACAGGATTTATGGTGACACAGTTTCAGCCAATGCCAGCTTTTAACGTCTGAAGGAGGCGATTTGCAACACTCTTACTTATTTCTTGCGTCATTAGTTGTAGAAATTTCAACAATCTCTTTTTGTTATTTTGCTGTTTTTGACTGAATAACCAGTCGCTTGATATTTTTCTTTATTTTGCTAAACTCTACATGCCTATAATTTGCAAATATTTGCCTATGATGTGCATGCTTCTACTTTATTTACCTATAATTTGTATATATGCGTATTCCCTCTTTGTAGATATCAAAAAGGGGGAGAAAGAAGTTGTACATTGCAGGACAGATAACAACTCTTGTTGAAGGGGAGTCGACTAAAGAATATGAGTCAACTGAAGTATACGCAGCACCTGTTGAGGGGTTGTCGACTGAAGATATGCAGCACCTATTGAGGGGAGTCGACTACAGGGAATTAAACTGTTGTTTATACATATGATTTTTGTCATCATAAAAAATGGGGAGATTTTGTTAATTATGAGTTTTAATGATGAAAAATAATATATCACATTTGGTGCAGGATTACAAGGAATAAAACAAAGGAATCAAGAACCAATACCATTCAAGAATCGGTTAAGGAAACAATCAATTAACGGGAGCAACACAAGGAAAAGAATGAATGATTAGCGATGAAAAAGGAAGAAGCAGTGAAGATCCGGAAGAAGAATCAATCAATGATTGACGGAAGCTATTACAGGAAGGTCCCAAATCAAAGGGAAACGAGATCGCAAAGGGGTGCATTGCAGATCGTTGAAGCCAGAAATCAAGGGATCTATCGCAAATCACTCAAGTAATGAAAATATATGCCTAGCGGATGAAAAGCTCGTCAAGACCACAAAAGGAAGATCAACGGAAACTTGACCTTATTCTTGGAAAGAATCAATCTATGATTCCTTTCAAGGATCAACTCCGATCCCTTGGGTTTGCAATTCACGTCATTCAATAGAAGGCCTCACTAAGTATATATATATATATATATATATATATATATATATGTTCCAGACTTGAAGAAGATATACTTTGAACGAACCATTATCACTCCTTTTGTTCTACTCCAAACAAGCATTGTAGTTCTTTTAGATCTGCTGTGTAATTAGTCAGAGAAGAAAAAGAGACAAACACTGGTGATGCATTGTATCAAGAAGAGAAAAGTGACATACAGATTAAACTGTTGGGGTAAAGCTACATCAACCATTCTGTACTCAAGAAACTTCGATCACTGAAAGAGAACACCCTTGAATTCGAACCAATATAAAATTCTGGTGTCTTTATTTCCTGCATTTTGTTTCTGCATTACTATTAATCTACTCTTATCTCTAGTCGACTAATTGGTAAACTAATCAACTACTTATAATACAAAATTTAAATAGGCAATTCGACCCATCTTGTACTTTCACAAAATTGCTTCATTATCATTTTAGTCCACTAACAGTTGCAATTTTAGTTCCTTTCAGCTCTAATTGTGGTGATGATGAGGGTGAGAGCGGGAGGAGCAAACTTGCTTTTTCACAAAGTTCTATTCTGGTGTATCTATACAGGGTGAATTTGTTGTCACAAGGGAGAAGAATGAAAAAAAAGTACAATAGCTGAAATATCATCCATAGCTATTCCTCTCCTCTTACGTCTCCAGGCACAGCCAGCAGATTGCACCAAACGCATGGCAGCTTTTGCCCTCTCTGGGATCGATGACACAATTTGTACTGCCTCTTCGTTGGAAATAACATCCCAAATCTGCACAAAGGAAATATTTATGCAGTTAAACAATTTGAAGCATATACAAGAGACAGTTTATTTAGTACAATAACTTTTATCCAACTAATCTAACCTTTTAATGCAGTTTACATTTCACCAGTGAGCATTAAGTGGCCATCATGGATGATCAGTGCCAGCCTATTTATGCTTAGAATTTTTATCCTACCTACTTTCTGTTTGGCCCTAATTAAGGAATATGCTACTACTATCTGTGATGAAGACATGGTTGTCATAGTATAAGATTAAGGCCAGACATACCCCATCTGTTGCCAGCACAACAAATTGATCTTTGCTTGTGATATATCTTTCAATCACGTCAGGAACAGAAGTTAGTCCGAAATCCTTCACACAGTAGTCTCCCAAAGCTCTAGACATAGCCAATCCGGGGGATTGGTCTTCAGGCAGCCATAACCGGTGCACCCCAGGTTCATCGTCCAAACAAAATACTCGGCCATTGCACTGCTTTATCCGTTCAGCTTCCTCTGGAATCAACATACATGCCATAGTGAATCATCTGGTATTTAATACAAGAAGAGAGAGCAATATAGAGGAGAACTTCTTGGTAAAGAGTGTTTTAAACCCCTTAGTGAGCCTATCTAATACGAATCTGGATTAATAGGGCCAGTAAATTTCAAATATGGGATACTTAGAAAGAAAAAGAAAGTATAGAGGAGGACGTACGAGGTAGATTAGGCTTGAAATCAGTAGTGAGCTCAACTGGCACCAAGTTGCCATCTTCAGAAGTGGTGGCCAATACAGCGCGTGAGTCGCCAACATTCGCTATAAAGAGAGCCTCACCCTGCAGAACAAAAACTTGGATGATTGAGCAACTTCTGTTGATCAAAAATCAACTCCAGAAGTTATGATTCTAGCTAGAATCAACAGGTTACATAAAAGGATAATTAACTAAACCCAATAGCATGACGAATAATCTAAGAATGTAGTGTGAAATTATGAACAAGGTAAAATTATTCTTGAAAAAGACAGTATAATAATTATTTGACTGGCTAATATCATCAAAAGAACTACTGGTATTACCTGTCTGACTATTGTCAAAGAAGTGGTACCACTGTAGAATGAATCAATCTTAGGATGTTGTTCCAGCTCGTGATCTACAGCAGCACATGCCTTGGTGTAGGAATGCTTCCATATATCGAATTTATCAGAGTCCAAATCGAAATCTGAATCAGTTGAAGCCTCAGACAGAGTTTCCTGCCAATTGGAAAGCAGAGATGATGGAAATGATTCTCGTACACACTTCGCCACAAAATGGCCCCAAGGACCATGTCCATCAAATACTCCGCAGAATATCATGTCTTCTTGGCATCCAAATTCCTGCCATGAGCAAGAATCAAAAGGCATTTCCATACACAGATATAGTAGTAAAAGTACCACAAGCGAGACTAATATTGAACAATGAGGAAGGGAGAAAAACCATAAATTGGGGAAGAATACCTCCCAAACAATGACACAATCTTGATTCACTCCTTTTTCTCCTCTCTTAGAGAAAACTGAAGCAAAATTCTTAGAACCATCAACATTTACAGTCCCTGAAGACCTTAATATAAAATCATTTTTCTTGGCTCCTTTAACCATAGATTCTGCAGCCTCTGTTCCATTGTAATCCCCGTTCCCAGAGTTTTCCCTTCCTTTTTTCAGTGACAGAGATCTTGCCAATCCATTAAACATGGAAGAAAAATGCTCCATTTCACCCTGCAGTAAAAGGTAAGAATTCACAATCCTCAAATCACAAATATTGATTTCACCTTCTCTATATGTATGAATTTTCCCATAGAATTTCCTCCCAGTCAAATACTGTATGACTAGACAAAGACAACTGCTTAAAACATCAACAAACTTCCTTCCACCTTCTACTGAATCAAATTGAGCATATTAACACAGAATGGAACAATCTCATTCAACAAAACAAGAAAACCCGAATTGCTTTAAAAAAAAATCCAATATTTTTTTTTCTGTAATCCACTTTGTTGAAAACCAAAAAGAAGCAAAATCCAACGGAAATGTAAACTGTTCCACTAACTAGATTACACCCATAATTAATCAAAACGGGATAAAAAGGAAAAGCTTGTTGAAAACCTTTTTTTTTTCTGGCGAAAATATATGGTCTGGAAAATGAGATTTTGACAAGACCAGAGACTTATTTACAGCTGAAAAGCTGACAGTGATAGCCAAAATGGAGAGAATGGATCACAATGCATAAGAGGGTAATTTGATTAGATCTTTTTAAGGAAGAAGAAGACAAAAAAATATGAGATTTTTCATATACTGTGTGACATACACAAAACGGTACGTAGAACTTGTGTGGAACTCCGGTTCCTTGTTCCTCTTAAACTAGCACTATATATATATATATATATATATATATATATATATATATATAAAATACGCCACCCCCCTACTTTGTACTATAATATATTATCCTTTTGAGCTAAATAAAATTTGAATGGAAATTTCTTTAAACTCTACATCTAATGTATAATGTCAACTTTAGACTTGGATTTTGTCCAGGTTTTACTTATTATAGAGATATAAGACTTTGTAATAGTTTAACCACATATAAACATCTTTTTCTGAATAATAATGAAGAAACTATGATTATTGGTACAGATTATGTATTCTTTTTTCCCTTTTCTGTATTGTGTAATATTCGAGATTAAGAATGATAGAACACCTTACCAAGAAATTCTTGAGTTTGACTTATACAAGAATATCAAACAACTATATTATTTAAAAAATCATCTCTACAAATCAAGCGATTTATGGTATACATATATCAAAATTGATGTCTTTCAGACAAGAATAACTGTGTTTAATTTGTGGTGCTTCATCTTTTAGAATGATACAATCGTAGTCAAATCTGTTCGAATATGAAATTATTAGATAAAAGAGTTTCTCACAAATTTAATAAGAAAAAGGTACAATTATACGTTACAAAATTCACGGAAGAGGCATAAGTATCCCTCAAACTTGTCTCTAAATGTCAATTATACACTTGTGTTTTGCGAGTGCTATTATACACTTGTAATAGAAAAAGAAAGTGAAAGAAAAATGAAAAATAAAAGATAAAATAGTTTTAAAAACACATGTCAATATTATACCACATAATATAAAGGGATTTTTACCTAGTTATACTATATTAAAAATTTATTTACCTATGTTCTTTATATTTTGTAGTTTTTAATAAATATTTAGGTTTTTCTTACAAGTTGTATATATTACTCCTTAAAAGGCTCTCACCCCATTATTAGTGTCTTCGATTAAGGGATTCAATTACATCATTTCCTTTTTTCCTCTCTTCTCTTCTCTCTCCTTTTTCTTACATCAAAATCACTTAATTTACACCAAGAATCTCCATCTTCTCTCTTCCACCATTTCCGCCAAAGTTATATTATTAAAAAATATTCAGAAATTGTATGATAAATGTATCATAATTGTATTTGAATTGTATTAGATACATCAATGCCTAGTACATAATTGTATTATACTTGTATTACAATTGTATCTAACTTGTATCTGGTACATTAATACCTAAAATAATACTTGATACAGTACTAATAAATTAATATACAATTATCATACTTGTGATACAAACTGTGAAATTCGTCATGAACTCACAACTGCTCATAACAATATACAATGAATATACAATTATCATATATTTGTAATACAATTCCTGCAACTATTATGATACATAAACAATTATAATACAATCGCGATACATTAATTTTTAAAATTTGTGATACAATTATGATCTTCATCTTATTCAAGTTTCAATCATAACTCTACACTAAAAATTTAATATACTCGTATTAAAATTGTATTAGTATTGTATCGAGTATTATTTTGGGTATTGACGTATCATATACAAGTCTACAATAAAAAATTTAGGAAAAAAGAAAACAAGATTTAAAACTTACCCAGAACTTGATTCCATAGCAATATTTCAAATTTTGTCTGCACTGTATCAATAAGAAATAGAGATTTTGGGTGATTAGTAAGAAAGAGAGAAATTAAGTTTGAATACCATTGGAAAAGAAAAAGAATTGGAGATGCGGGGGGGGGGGGGGGATATAAAAATAAAAGAGAAATTTTCGGTGATTATTAAGAAAGAGAGAAAAAAGGAACATAATCTTAAATGTAGGAGGAGTTATTGGAAATGGGTTGTAACTGACAAGCTAAAATTAAGAGATCTTGAATTTTTTCTTTTTAATAGTTTTGTATATAACTTGTAAATATAGATATACAAAGTAATTAATAAGGAACCTAAATAAATGTGGTAAATAAGTTTTTACTATATTATAACTAGGTAAAAATCCCTAATATAAATCTTGTCAATAGTAATTTCTAGGGGTGTCAATGGTTCGGTTCGGCCGGTTATTTTATAAAATTTGTACCATAACAATTTTCAGTTATTCTATTATGTATAACCAAAATAAGACTTTTCGAAACCATCCCAATCGTGTCGGTTTCTCTTCGATATCGGTACGGTTCGGTTTTTTTCGGTATTTTTTAAAATGCCATGTAAAATTCACCAGTAGACGTAGCATGCAGTAACATATGCTCTTTTATATGACCTAGAAAAACTCTATAGACATTTTTACTGTTTAAAGGGTGATGAATTAAAAAAAAATATGAAAGATGGCTAGAATATAGGTCCATCAACTATTCTACAACAACGTAAAAGCATCCAAGTAAAAGCAAAGAAAATATAAATCACACGAGTGGAAAGGATACTTTGTGTCTTGCTAATACAAATACTTGAAATAACTTAGTTTAAGTAGAAGTAACATAATAGGTTTTAGGAATTAGTATTTTGAGTTTAATTACTTGTTGGCTTGTAACAATTTTCATAATTTCAAGGCCTAAAAAAAATTTAATGCTTTATTATTTTTAAACTTACTATATAAATATATTTTCCACATATAAAATTTATTTGGTACGGTTTGGTAGTTTTTCGCTTTATTTTTATAAAATAAAAATCATACCCTAATTATCGGTACAGTTATAGATTTGTATAAAAACCTACGGGTTTTTTAAAAGAAACCTAAAAATCAGTTCGGTGCAGTAAGGTACAATTCGATCGGTTTAGTCGGTTTTCAAATATCCATTGACACCCCTAGTAATTTCACTTTAAATAAGTACATAGGTAATCGGACTCCGCAAAATACAACTGTATAACTAGCATTTCTGTTTTAGTTCAGGAGTCAACAAGAGTCAAGCTGCTCGCATCTGCGATCCTCGCATGTGTGGGACATCTTCGCACCTACGACTCCTCATCCTTGACCGATTATGCGGCTCCTTCTCCGCTTATGCGGGCTCCCCACCGCAGGTGCGGAAACACCAGAACCAACAGCTTCAACTGCACTCCTTCAACTCAAAACAATCCGATAACTACCCGAAATTACCCCGAGGCCCTCGGGACCACAACCAAACATACCAACATGTCCCATAACATCATACGAACTTATTCGAATCTTCGAATCACTCAAAACACCAAATTACACTCGGATTCAAGCCTAAGAACTTCTAATCTTCCAAATTCCGCAAACGACATCGAAACCTATCAAACCACCTCTGAATCACCTCAAATTCTGCACACAAGTCAGAAATGAAACCACGAACCTACTACAACTCCCGAAAATCCAATCCGACCCCGATATCAAAATTTCCATTGTCGGCCAAAATCGCCAAAATTCTAACTTTCGCCAATTCAAGCCTAATTCTACCACGGACCTCCAAATCACATTCCGAACGCGCTCCTAAGTCCTAAATCACCTAACGGAGCTAACAGAACCATCAAAATTCAAATCCGAGGTCGTTTACACATAAATCAACATCCGGTCCACTCTTCCAACTTAAGCTTTCAAATAAGAGACTAAGTGTCTCAATTCACTCCGAAATCACTCCGGACCCAAACCAACTCACTCGGTAAGTCATAATACAGCTGTAAACACAAAATAAGCAGAAAAACGGGGAAACAGGGCTACAATTCTCGGAACGACCGGCCGGGTCGTTATATCCTCCCCCCTCTTAAATAAACGTTCGTCCGCGAACGGGTCTAGAAACATACCCGCAGCCTCAAATAGGTGTGGGTATCTGCTCTGCATCTCCCGCTCTGTCTCCCAAGTAGCCTCCTCCACGAGCTGACCTCTCCACTGCACCTTCACTAAAGCTATATCCTTTGACCTCAACTTTCGAACCCGACGCCCCAAAATAGCCACCGACTCTACACCATAAGTCAAATCACCATCCAACTGAATCGTGCTGAAATCCAGAACATGAGATGGATCGCCGGTATACTTCCGAAGCATAGAAACATGAAATACTGGATGCACACTCGACAAACTAGGTGGCAAAGCAAGCTCATAAGCCACCTCCCCAATCCTCCGAAGTACCTCAAACGGCCCAATAAATCGAGGGCTCAACTTGCCCTTCTTTCCAAATCTCATAACACCCTTCATGGGTAAAACCTTCAGCAAGACCTTCTCCCCAACCATGTAAAGACACATCACAGACCTTTTTGTCAGCATAACTCTTCTGTCTCAATTGCGTCGTGCGAAGCTGCTCCTCAATCAATTTTACCTTGTCCAATGCATCCTAAACCAAGTCTATACCCAAAAGCCTAGCCTCACCCGGCTCAAACCAACCCACTGGATATCTACACCGCCTCTCATATAAAGCCTCTTATGGAGCCATCTGAATACTCATCTAATAACTGTTATTGTAAGCAAACTCCGCGAATGGCAGAAACTGGTCCCATGAAACCCCAAAATCAATGACACAAGCGAGTATCATGTCCTCCAATATATGGATAGTGCGCTCAGACTGTCCGTCCGTCTGAGGATGGAATGCTATCCTCAACTCAACTTGAGTGCCTGATTCTCGCTGCACGGCCGTCCAAAACTGCGATGTAAACTGTGTGCCTATGTCTAAAATGATGGAAATTGGCACCCCGTGTAGGCGAACAATCTCCCTGATGTAAAACTCAGCCAACCGCTCTGAAGAATAGGTAGTACTCACAGGAATGAAGTGCACGGACTTGGTCAGCCGATCTACGGTCACCCAAATGGCATCGAACGTCCTCAAAGTCCATGGGAGCCCAACTACGAAATCCATGGTGGTCCGCTCTCCATTCCACTATGGAATCTCTATCTTCTGAAGCAGGCCACCCGATCTCTAATGCTCCTATTTCACCTGCTGGCAGTTGA